ATGCCTCCATCAATCTAGACCTCCAGTCAGTTTGCATGAAAGCTTCCTAGGAGATCAGCCCAGGGATTTTTATGATGCTGAAAGTGGACAAGTGGCTTCCTTAAAATAAACTACATAGAGTTCATAAAAATAAGCTGGGCCTTACTTTTATGTATCACTTCTGTTCACAGCTTTGTCTAAAATCCAGGGTTTGTTTTAAAAGAGGAAAGAGTTGAAGGAAATGAATGCAATAAAAATAGGCATGTAGATTTTCGCAAAAATTTAACAGCAAACATTTATCTCCTAACTCTTTGCATTGGAAGACTTCTGCCAGAATTATGTAAGCAACACGGAACAGACTGGCACTAGCAGTTTTCACTGTCCAAGCTGCATAAACAAGAGAAAGTTCAAAGCACCATGACAAGAATGCTGAGGGTATCAATGGGCTTGTTTTTTTTTCCCCCCTTAGATATAATAACTAGGACAGCATTTGTCTCAGCTCAGATAACTGTGGGATATGATCACTGTATAAAAAGTCATAGCTAAGGTGGATACTGCAAATAGGAAAATATCAATTTCTTCTCAAGATGCAGGAATCAGAGGCCTGAAACAACCATCGAGCTTCAGATTTAAAACCAAAAGAAGTAGCTTTTTTCACACAATGAATATTTAAATTGCAAGTCTTGTTGCAATCAAACTTTATGGCCATCAAAATTATAAGCATATTTAAAAAGTAGCTAGACAGATACCTGAAGAAATAGAGTATTAAATATTATCAGTCATATGCAGGCTTAAGCTCAGAAAGTCCCTGAACCAGAGATCACTGCAATCTGACAGGGAAATACTAGAGAGGGATAATCTCTTTAAGTGGCCTGTTTCATGCACTGTTTCCTGAGGGTGTATTAATGGTCCTGCTCACAGATGGGCCACTGCCCCAGCCTGTGTCAGGACAGTTGTTCTGGAGCACAGAAAGAGAATGATTGATGCAAATGATGGTGACAAAAAGGTTGTGATTGGGAAGGAAGACCGGCAGAGGAGCAGAGAATTTTGCTAAAACTGATGTCATATCTTAAGTGGCCTCTTTTTCTTCAGAATGAATTTTACAAGGAGCTGTGCTCATTTTCAAGTAGCTGAAACAGCATCTGAGGCAAAGCAGGCCAGGCTCTGCAGAGCTTAGGTGAGAGGCTAAGAGTGAGGGTAGAGCCTCAGGCGCTGCCAGGGGAGCTGTGTGTGGAGAAGTTTTGGCAGAGAAGCCCAGATTTGTCACAGGAGCTGACCAAGAGGCCAGCAGAGAGCCGAGAACAGCAGAGAAGCACTAGCACTGTGACTCTTAACAGCCAAGCAAAAGCATGCTTGGCTGAAGTGTTCCAAATAGAATAAAAGTAAGAAAACTTAAAATATGGAGACCTATTTTCCTTACTATGTGACTGATGTTCCAGAAAGGAAGCAGCACTCTGTGTGCCTTCTTTGTGTGTGAATCAAAGAGGTATCTGACTCACTTAACAGTTTCTTCTACTAATGGAAATGTGCTGCAGATCTGAGCCAGTCAGACGTGGTGACAGTGTAATTACCTTTCCCAATGGTGCCAAATGTGTTCTAGTTCTTTCCAGCAAGTAACAGAGGTGTAGCCTTTGATACAGGGATCAGTCAGTCTAGAGACAAGAGTTAAAGGGGGAAGGGGTATGATACCAAAGTAGTACCAAAGTTTTCAAAGGAAGAAACCTGGTAAAAGGATTCTAAACTTCTCTTGTATTCCATCAGCCTGCCTATTTTTCTGCTACGGAAATGTCTTCAGATGCACTCTGTACACCAAAAGGTTGTCATCTTGTTCTGGAAGGAGATTTTAAAGAAAAATTAGAAGATGGGTGAGTTTGTAAAGTTTATGTAGGACTGGGAAAATGGAAATAATCAAGACAGTGAAGAAGATAGGCTAGTTTCAGGGATGGATCTCATTTCAGTTCATAACAGCCCTTCAGACTCAGTTGGCTAAGTGTTTTTTAGTGACAGAAGAAAGATGTATTGCTACATAAGATGAAAAAGAAAAAAGATATTTTTTTCCCCCCATGAGAGTTCCCCTTATACTGGTCAGGCTATAGAGTCTTATAAACACTTTTTGTTAACAATGTGCAATTTACTGCTTATTAAAATTGCTTACAATGCTTTGGTCTCAGATGTTTGATTCAGGATCTAATAAAGAGCTGGTGATTTGTCAGGCTGTCACTCTGTGGAAAAATCAAATTCTTTTGCCTGTTGGCCATCATCTGAGCAGTGGAACCATGGCATTTGCACAGCCCCTGATTCCGTTTTCAGTGAGATCCCTGCCTAGAATGTAAATCATCATCCTCTGTACCTCTACCACATGTTTATCAGCAAGGGCTTTTATCCTTCAGAGGGGAAGTCAGTATTTGTTGTAAAAGTACTGGCTCAATTTCACAAAAAAATTCCCAGCACTGGAAATTGTTACCATCCCATTGATGCACTAACTTACTTCAGCATCTTCCAACCATTCCTCAAGTGATAGATACAGGGCTTTAATTTCTCTGTGTGTCCAAGAGATATCCCTATACTCTAGGCTCCTATTTCTTCCCTTTTTCAGCTTGAGTTTGTGAATCACCCATGCTTTTGCAATATTTTTGACTTGGTTCAGTCTCTGTTGCTCTTCCATTTGGGAATTTGTAATGGCAATATACACAATGAACAATAGCCTTTTTCTAATGCAGGCACCACTGAATCTTAGCAATGTAAAGAAATCATCCTGTAACTGGTAAAACTAATGGAGTTTGCTATCCCATGGCTGTGTCCTGCTCCCAAACCTTCCCACCAAAATTCCCCCCTTCTGTTTATTATCACTCACATCATAAGGGAGGGACAGCACCCTCAACTTGGACTGAATCCTATTTAGCCTTGGACTGATCCCACGTAACCCACCCTGCAGTTTAAGCTGGGCAGGGAGCAGCCAGGATTTATCAGTGAGTCCCTACTCCATCCTTCCCCCTTTCAGACTTTGTGCACCTGGCTGAGTTTCAGTGAACTGAGAGAATTTTTCTCTCCTGAACTGGATTGCAATTGACTGACAGGTTCAAAAACTATTGAAGGTGTGCTGGAAAGCAGATTAACATAGCAAGAACAACTAAAAAGAGAAAAGGTATCTTAAAATAACAAATACCCACAAGTCTGCAGTTACTGGTGCTGAATAACAATGTTTGTATAAGAGCATATGGTCTTAAAATAGCTGAGAATTAATCTAGCTAGAAATTAGACAAAGGCCCTTAGTTATCCTTGATGTTCTTGAACAGCCTTGCTGTAGGAGTGGTGAGAGCAAATCATCTACTCTGCTTTTCAGTGTATTTCATTTATGAATGGGTCTATGCCTGCAGGAAAAAAAAAAAAAGAAAAAAAATTTTTAAGTGTCTGGAAACATGATGACTTTTCTAGGGCTATGTTCCTACCTGCCATCTGTGACCCTTCAAGAAAAAAATGAAGCATCCCAGACTTTTCAAATCTCTAAAAAAAAACCCACAAAACTAGATGTCAGTCTGTTTCCCACATACTTTCCCCCCCCCGCCAATGATGGCATCTCTTCCCTGGCTGGGGGAATCCTTTTGACATTAGCCAAGGTCTCTGCAGTTTGACCTTTACTGCCCAGATAGGCAGTAAAATTGGATCTCAGAAAAAAATGGCTTTTGCTTTAATCCCAAAATGTTTGCAGGTGGGTGGCTCTGAAGCCATTCTTCTCATGTTTTCAGACAGATTTGCTGTTAAATTAACTGAACAGAAATATGCAAAGAACCTCTCAGCATAGTTAGTCAGTCATCCAAAAATGAGGACAGCAGCCCAGGTACTCAGACTGGCTTGCAGGTCAGTCAGCTGATTATAGGATTTTCTCTTCACAGAGATAAATCTTTTTGCAATACCAGGACAGCCATATTAACTATGCTGTAAGATCCAACAGGCCCACAGGGGTATTTTACAGCTCCAGATTTGGGCATACATGTTGTCAGATTCTTTGGTGTGCTTGGAAAGGTGGACTTAAGCAAAACTCTATGGATGGGGAGGGATTTGGATTTAGAGCTGAATTAATTCTGTGGGAATTGATCAGATCTTGCAGGCAGCTGCACCCTTCTCTGTTTTATTTCTTCCTATTTAGCTGTGCAATAAGTTTTCTGTGTTTGTGGCATAACCTTGTGTGGACCTTCAGATAGGCTTCCAAGGATGAGGTGCAAAGAGGGATGGAATGGAGGCATACAAATCCCTGGCTTGCGCTGCCCTTTCTCTCTTCCTTGCCTGCCTTACTCTCCCTGTTCTCGGATCGCAGCTGGGGTCAGTAGCCGGCAGGGTTGATGAAGCTTTCCCGTTGTTCGGCAGCCCGTTGCCCCACGGCAGCCACGAACCGGGCCGGGCTCAGCTGTGTCGCAGGCGCCCAGGGGCAGCTGCTCTCCAGAGACCTGCTCTGGCCACTGAAGGCCACCTGTGCCTGCCTGCCCACGGGCACGGCTGAGCTCCTGCCCAGCGCCCACGGCTGATGAATTCACCCTGCTTGTACACTTGCAGCTGGAGAGGGTCCTGTGGGCTCAGCCAGGATCCCAGGAATCCTGACAGTGCAGGTGGAGCGACAAAGCCCCTGGCCACAACACACGTAAAACGCCCAATGCCCCCTACCCCCTCCAGGGAAGCGATGGCCCCCCAGGCAGGGGCTTCTAAGAGGGGGTAGAGGAGGATCTCTGGAGGCATTGTGGGGTTCCACTCAACGACAGCCTGCAAGACACTCGGGCCCCAGGGGCCGAGGGGGAGCATCGGATGCTGTGAGCGTGTTGTTCTCCATTCGCAGGCACGCGCTGAAGGGAGCGTCGCAGAGCAGCTGCGGCTGTTAGAGCTCTCCTGCCAGCTCCACTCCTCCCGATGCCATTCCTACCTCCAGGATTTTTCCCTGACTCGCAGCATCACCATCCAAAAGTCTCCCTGGAGGAAGGTATCTGCTTGCTGGTTTGTCTCTTTAGCCTTTGCCGCGGGAGAAGGGAGGAAAAAAGCCATAAGCAATCAACTCCTTTGCTTTCCTCCCCCTTTTATATTTCCCCCCCTCCTGCTCTCTTCCTTCCGTCAAGGGGGGGTGAAATCCCCGTCTGGAAGGAGCTTTTCAAGGTCCATGCATGGCTGGCAGCAAATTGGAAGAGGTGAGCAGCCGAGAGAAGATGTGAGAGCTGGAAGGGCCGTGCCGTGGGAGTGGTCCTTGCTTTGTGTGCAAGTGAGGCAGTGAATGTGCAGCCTCCCACTCTGGGTGCATCTTTTTTTGGATGCTGTGTAGTTCCCTGTGTGAAATGCTTTTTTGGCTAAAAGAAGAAGAGATGTCACATCAGGAGCTCACCCAGCGACTGACTACAGTTATCACCCATGTGGGTAAGGCATCTTTATTTTTCTTCTTACTACATTTGTGTGGATTCGGGGGCCCTGTTCCCCCAGGAGGTGCTGCTGCCTTTGTGTGAAAATATCTCACCTGTGCGTGAAATAGGAGCCATCAGCAGACTTCGAATCCCTGGCTTTGGGCAATTACACAGCCTTTTATTGCTGGTTTGTTTTTCAAGCATGTTTTCTCTGAAAAGCAGAAACAGTAAGAGCAGCGTGTCCTACCTGTGAAGTGATCTGTGTAAAATACCCGAGCACAGTTCTTGCAGGGAGGTGGTGGAGAAAAGGGGGTGTGGGAGGATGCTGGAGCAACGGCAGCGCTAATGTGCTGTGCATTTGCTTGTGATACTGGAATAGCAGCCCATTCTCAGAGAATCTTTTCATGGCCTTTGCTGTTTCAGGATTTCTGGAAGGTGCCAGGACAGGGACAGGATCTCAAAAGCTTTTCTCTCTGTCAGGCTTGATTTTACTGTTTCTGGCATTCAAATGCCAGTGAATACAGGTGAGGCCCTATGCTTTGCACTGACATCTTTATGCATCTGAGCTGGATACCCACCTGCTGGCACTGGGGACTGCACAACCAGGAACTGAGGAACCTGAAACTAGCAAGACAGTAGGACATGCTGGTGACTAAAATATCAGCTGAGAAAAGCTTTTGTGACCCTTTTTGTTACCTGCAGTTGAGTTAAAGCAGATTGCAGCTGTGTTGCATCACATAAAGAGAACATTTTTTGTTGAATTGCATAGAAGCAAATTTTATAGTTGTCAATGTTTTCAATGGATTGTGTGCTGTGAATGCCAAAGATGTTGTACAAGTTTCTGAAATGCCTTTGTCACTGGCTTTGTATAATTTGTATGTGAAACAGAGTGTGACCAAAATTTGGCTTTTAGAGAATACATAAGTAAGATTTTAGACCAACATTATTCTTTGGTTTGATATATGCTATGGCAGCTGAACTAAGTTTAATAGAGCACATGCAATCAGTATCTTGCTTAAAGAAATAGCATAAAAGCAGATTTAAAGTCAATAGAATATTTAAGACCAGGCCCATCTTTGCAAAATCTTTTCCAGGATAACCTCAGCAGGAACTTGGTATGGGAGAGAGTATGATTGCCAGGAGAGCTTGCAGCAGCAGGCTCTTTGACCCAGTAATGCCAACATGAATTGCTTTACAATTGTGCAAATTCAGATTGACATGAAATCATATGAATTCACATTTTTTAAATGAAGATTTGGAATTCAATATGAGGCATATTCCTTTATTCATTTATTTTTAAGAGTATTTCAGAAGAGCCAAAAAGATTTTTATGTCATCTGGTTTTCTTGTTAAAGTCAATGCAGGTCCCCATCATCCATTTTGAGGACTCTGCTTGATATCAGAAGGGATTGGTTAGAGGTAACATAGCATTATGTTACCTACTGTGTAATATACTGTTATCTAATAGGAAGTCATTCTGGACACTAGAAATGTTGATGAACCTTTCGCCTGTTCTCTGCTAAATTCAAGAGAGGTTTCTGGGTCATGAGGCTGATGCTAGAGAGTCTTATTGGTTTCCTGGAGGTCAACCAGCAGGCCAGTCCTCGGGAGAGAAGCAAAGGTCTCAGATCTTGGTGTTTTTTCCATTCCACACTGAGGCAAGAGCTTAGATGATCAACTTCTATCAGGGAAGGATAATCTCACCATTTCCCCAGCCATTTGAAAACTACAAATCAGACCCTGCTTGAGGAGTCTGCCTACCTTTTTGTAGGCAGAGTTCATTTTTTATTGAATCATGTAAGTGGCAAAAACAGTTGTGCAAAAATGGAAGAAAGTCACATTTAAACATTTGTTACTGGCTGAAGGAAGAACATTTCTTCCGAACTCATGATGATGATGCACCATGTTTATGAATCACATGTTGTAACATGGGTGCCTAGCTGAATCAGCAGTAGCTTATTGGAAGAATAATTCCTGTGAAGCTGCAGGGGCCTCTTGTATGTTCATTGGAAATCTTTACAGCTCAAACAAGTGAAAGGGCTCTCAGTCTCAGCAAACTGAGGGGATTCTTGGCTATTTATAGTGTTTACTATTTTTACAACTCTCACCCTCTTATTGCCACTTGGACTGGTGGGATTCAAACTCTCTAGAATATAGCCAGCTCTTGGTTGGGAGCACAGCTTCCAACTCACCCAAGAGCAGGAGGGAAGAAATTTATTCACAAAATTTGCAAAATGCCAGAAAACAACATTATGGGAATGTTAAAAAGAAAGACCTTTACATTTTCAATAAAACTTTTATGGGATCGTTTTGGTCTGTGTGAAGTAATGACACACCATTTTATTTTTAATGTGTCAATAAGAATGTCACATAGCTAATTGCCTGGGGCTCAACTTATCTGTCCTGGGCAAAAGCTTTCATCCCTCATTAGCTGACTCATGTTGTGTTACACAGTTCCTGTGCCAGCAAAAAAAGCTTCTTATCATGCTACAGACTTCATACATAGAGTACCTGCCTCACCTGGGTCAAAATCAGAGCTTGGAAGGTATTTTCCTGCTCCATGGTAGCTCTCTCAACTTGGTACTTTTCTAGTACCAACCTGCACGATAGTACATCTTCAAGCAGTGTAAAACAACATAGGACCAAATTAGATTTCTTAAATAGCCCTGTGCTCCCTTAGCTTCGCTGGGATTATTCCTGGCTGTCCTGGTGTGGGTGAAGTAATGGGGCCACCACAGGTGCCTAGGACAGGAGGAGTTTGTGAATACTAGCAGGCTTTCTGCTTACTATCTGAGATTTAGCAGCAACACTACCCAATCTTGTTACCAAAACTGCGTCAAGAGTCTTTTTTAAATTTACCCTACTTTCATTGAACTTGTTTGTTGGGAGGTGTTGGGGAAACACACATCAATTTTGGAAAAAGTGTGTCCTTTGGGTAGGTGGGCAAGTGGCAGCTCTTGTGTGGTGGGGAGGGAAGAGCTTTGCAGGGTGACATGCCTGGTGCTGACGGCAGGATTGTTTGCCTGTGGGAACACGTACAGCTCTTCCAGCCTGCAAAGCCCACAGGAATACGCTTTTGTGCTCTCACTACCCACCCACACTTGGCAGTTGGCCCCCAGAAGTCTGATTCCAGCTTTGCTTTGTGTGGGCAACGTTCTGGGCACAGTTGTGCACACAAGCACCTCCACCCAGTGCCCCATTTTCTGCAGATTTTTTCCTTAAAATGATTTTATGATAGGATGGAGCTGCCAGAACCAATGTGAGCTGTCTCAAAAGGCCAGCAGCCTGGCTTCTCTCTTGCCAATAAGGAATTCCACACCATGCGGGAGATGGGGTTTTGTTAGAGGCTCCCCTTAATTCTCAATGAAGTTGAGAAGAGCTCCTCCCCTTCAAATGTTAACTGGACCCAGATGAGCTGACTGTGAGTGTCCCTGGTAGGAGAGGCACTGATGTGAATTTGCAGAAAGCACTACATTGCACAAATGTTGCATACAAGAAATAACCCCAAACGTTTATGTCAGCTTTCATCTGATTTTATGCACTCCTATTTTCCCAGTCTCACATTTTATGAAGAAAACAAACAAAAAGGAATTTAAGCAACTTGATGGAAATCAAAAGGAAAGTCAGTGACTGAACTTAGTTTAGGATTCACATCTCTGGACTTAAAGTTCCTATGTTAACCATGGTATGTCAATTCCTATCACTCTTGGCTTAACAATCAGAGCTGAGGAACGGTGTAAAAAAACGGTGTGTGTGAAGAGAAACTGTGTTATAATTTGGGACAGGAAGTAAAGGATGGTACTGCATCTACCTGACTGTGTGAGAGGAATTTAGGTCAACAGAATGGAATAACCCGAGTTGGCACTTGTCCGAGGCTAGTGGCTAAGCATCACAAATCACGGAATCTGCTTTATGCTACAAAGCCACAAATAATCTAATATGTCACAGCTGGACAGACAATTGCAATATTTCTGATATGTGTCTGTAGGCATCAAGGACACAAAAAAGGGATATTTTAAGAAATTAACTTTTGAGATACTGTATCAAATAGGCCCTCTGCTACTCCTATGCAAAGGCTTAAATCAAATCAAATTCCTTTGCAACATAAAATTCTTGCCTTTGTTTTAGAGCATTCATGCATTTCAGGAACTCTTTTTGAACCACAGATTTTGTGTCACTGTCCTACTTTGGATTTCTGGTGCACAGCAAGGGAAAACTGGTCTTGCCATTGGCTGCAGCACACCAGATTTCCTTACCCAAAATAATATACAGCCCTGGGAGGGGCATCTATCACTGCATTCCCAATGAAATATGACAATAGATAACTGCAGAAATGGGTTTGCTAAATTTACTTGGAATCTCATGCTTATGAGAAATGGTAGGTTGAAGTTTCCATATCAACCTACTTCTATAAAAAAAATTGAGCTTTGATCATGTTATCTGCACCTTTATCTCTGTACCCCAGTAAGGCTTTTGAACTGTTGGCCAATTTTTACCAAACTTGGTGAAGTGACAAAGGTCAAAAATATTGAATTCATGCCAAAAAAAAATATATATAAATAGTATCTGAAGAAAAAGAGGAAAATGGTGAAGACAAGGGAAATAAGCTCATTCTACTAGACCTCAGAGATTCCACGTGGGAGGGTGGAATGTGGGAAAGGAGAGATAATAGTAATTTATCTTTTTTAGTTTCACAGCTTAAAAAAGCTACTTGTTTACTTTTTTGTTCCTAGATTGTGGTTATTAATTTTATCCCATTCTATATGGCCTATTCTGTGCAGCTGTTTCACTGGAAACCATTTAGTGAGGAACTGTTTAAAAGTATTTTGTTAATGTTGCAAATCTTGTATCTATAAAAAGTGGAAACTAAGCTCTCACAGAAATCCATGAAAAATGTGCAGATGTGCCTGGTGTATTTTCCAAGATGTAGAATGTTGCAAGTACCACAGACTTGTTTAAAGCCCACATTCTAACCTGGTTTGCAGAGACATTATCAGAAATAATGATTATAAGAAA